TCTCAATTAACACGGTAAACCTAGCACGCTATACGCACGCACCAATGCCGCTTCTCTCGAGATTTCCCAGGAGGCTTAACTCGTGCACTAACGTATGCTAAAAGGCAACTTTGATATGTAATTGAGCAAAAGATATGGGGTAAAATGCTCCGGTAAAATTCAATAAGTACGATTACTTAACAGAGACACCTCGTGTACGCGCAGCAACGGCGCACCACCAGGGTATATATATTATATATCCTACTATATTATTATATCCTATATATATTATATTACCCTGCCGTGTGGCGCCATATATATATATATATATATATATATATATATATATATATGCTGAGCACGGTGATAGCTACGAGTATGAAGCTGAAAGCATTTGAAAATCAATAAATTCCCCTTTGATAGCTACAGCAGTAACCTGTGTCTACACGATCACTAAAGGGCTGGTGGGTTCACGATGCTTCCAATGAAAGAAGGACGTTGCCGTTATACGGAGGACGTGCAACAGAGACAAACGCGGTCACGTGCCAACGATCCGGGAGGGTTGCTACGACATTTCTGACAGCAGCTATGCGACAGCATTATAAGCAGCCGGCTGAAAGGGGTGGTAAGATATGTTTACTAGGCACTTCTAATTTTAACATATATTCTAAATTTAATTAGGGTCAGGGTTAGGGTTAGGGTTAGGGTTAGGGTCAGGGTTAGGGTTAGGGTTAGGGTTAGGGTTAGGGCACTTTTTAGGGTTTTTGCATCATTCTTTAATATATCGTAAAATATATGTTAAAATTAGAAGTGCCTAGTAAACATATCCTACCACCCCTTTCAGCCGGCTGCGTATTATAAGCAAGCTTAGCAATTGATAGGTCGTATTCTCGGCGTCATTAGCTAGGCGTTTGCAATATGGATGATTTTAAGTAAGGACTGCATTGGGCTAGAAACTGCTGTATTGTTAACATCTCGAGTCGGCATCCCTGAAAGCCCACGTTTGCTGACCGCATAGTTTACTGCATTGTCTGGTACTTGATCCTATCAAAGTATGTCCGGCGGATGTAGTAACCGACTATGACTAGTAGCGCCACCACGGCAAGGACGCTACCCGTCGCGATGGCAACCTTTTGATTTCTTACGTTCCGGGGTGACATCGCCTCTAAGCACAAGTAGCCTGCGGACAGCCAGAATCGTAATCATTAAAATACGCTGATGAATGTTCAGTGGATCAAGATAATACTGCAGTATTTCTGTTTCTCATAACCATAGATTATTAAACGCCGTGTGATCGTTATAAATGAATAATATGAATATAAAAAGAATCATTCCAGTGCTTGTAATCATCCCTGATAATGGTTATTATAGATACCAAACAATAACCTAGATTATCACAGTATGATAAGTTGTATTTGTTCGATACACGACGTGCAAACCCTTCACTGCAAACTCTTACGCGTATGTGATGATAATAGCGAACATATATGAAGGTGAAATTTAAATGCGTGAAGCGAGGCATAAAGCCACACCATCGAGCCACATAAAACAATCATCAACATCCGTATACCTTTACTGAATTCTCCTAATTTCACTCCAAAAGGTTGAAGCTGCACGGCTGACAGACTGAGAGTGGTGCTAGTTGTCCCATCGTCACCTGTTAGTGGCAGTGAGGTTCCTTTGTTGCATAGCGATGAGTATCCTTGAGGCGTTTCAAACATCTTTGAATTGTTGTTATATGCTACTTGATGTCCCGCTGCATATTGAATAACAACACATCACGGTTTTAATTTTTATTCCAGAAACGCTTATCATAAATTCTTTTGTATACTAGGTTGACTTGGGACGACGTTTTAAAGAAGGATGTGAATAAGAGAGAGATGATGAGAAATGGAGAGAAACAGGTAGCGATAGAAAAACAGCGCGTGAGAGAACGAGAGGGGCGAGAGAGAAAGGGAGAGAGAGGAGGAGACACAGAGAGACAGGGAAAGAGATGAGCGGGGTGACAGAGAAAGACAAACAGAGCTAGATGGATGAATGGATGGATGGATAGATAGATAGATAGATAGATAGATAGATAGATAGATAGATAGATAGATAGATAGATAGATAGATAGATACTCGTATATATGCGCGCGCGCGTGTGCGTGTGCGTGTGCGTGTGCGTGTGCGTGAGCGTGCGCGTGCGCGTGAGGGTGTGCGTGTGCGTGCGTGCGTTTGTGCGTGCGTGCGTTTGTGCGTGCGTGCGTTTGTGCGTGTCTGTGTGTGCGCGTGTGTGTAATTTTCATATATTTGACAAAAAATAAGGATTGTATCTCGCGCTGTAGCTATACAGGCCAGAGACAGGTAAATAGTGGATGACGCTTTTATACAGTAGAAAGTTCACAACACCGATGATAATCAGGTAATCAAGGTATAGCCATACCATTTTTAGCATTCGTAAAAATGCTTTCGTCGCTTGAATTGTATTTAAACATAACAGAGCTCATGAACCAGCATCCTTTCTCACTCTTTGCAGCATTCATATGACTAGAACATTCATCCTGTAAGAAATGAGGTTTTTATCACATAGTTGCTATCGCCTGACGAAATTGCACTATAACATTTTAATTCGTTGTGCTATGCAATTACCGTAATGTATCTTTCAAGCGAATATTTATCTACTGTAGGCCTACTTTAGACTCGATATGACGTATCAACGAGCTCTGTGGGCGGGTATGTCAAATGTGTCGTACAGGGTTTTGTTCAGGTATGTAACTATTAGACATGGAGGCTTCCTCTCTTGCCGAAAGATGATATACCTGGCAAGTGTCTATTCGACAAATACAGGATATGTGTGCGTCAGATAAGCTTATAAACGTATAAGTCTATACGTCTCTATTTTGCATGAATCCATTTGGTCCTATATAACCAACTGGGCTAGATAAACGGCTTCAAAGGTTACATGTAACCTACATATAGCGCCATGCGATTTTCATTGAATATTAAATCAATATAGTTCTAAATATAAATCGCAACAGGTAGGCCTATAATCGATATGCGAGCACTCAATATTGAACGTATGCCTGAACTGAAATGCCCTATGCGGAATAGCAGTACTCCATTTTGCAGATACAGATCATATAAGATTAGTAGCTTACTTTTTCAAAGTCCATGTTAAATCCAAAAGCGTCATCGTCCCAGCTAACCTGGAGACTTGTCATATCCTCCCCACACGTTCCTTCCTTCTGCCAGGTCACGTTCCATGGCAAGGTTATTACTGCCAGCGCTTTCTCGCCCTGTATTTAAAAAGTACCATTTAAACCTTTTGATAATATCGATTGACATATAGTATTATAATATTGGATTATATTATAATATAAATATATGATTTAATAATATAAATTTATTGCACTTAAATGTGCTCGCATGATCAATTTCCGAGTATTTTACTCAAGTGTTTTCGTAACAATGGTTCAAAATTGGAACGCACGCAAGTACGTACGTAAGCACACACACACACACGTAGAACACAAGGACATGGGCATCCATATACATG